ACCAAAACCACCAGCCCTCACCGACGTCTTGCAACCACCACACCCCACGCTGCAAGACGATATCCCCGAAGGCTGGAACCACCCTGAGATCCAACAATGGGTCACTACTTTCGACCCCACCATCCAAGAAGCTGCCAAGGACGTCGTCCGTCTGCTGCAAACAAGCAAAGTCACCACGCAGCAGCTAAAAGAAGCAGCCACAAAGTATGGCCTACCCCTCAACCGGGTCAACCGACTCCCCATTCGCAGCCTACAACAGCTGGTGGGTGTTGGAGCAGCCATCGGTTGCTGACTCGCCATCCTTGCCCAGCAGCAACCCAGCCACACCAACCTCACCCAACTCTTCCACTTGCACCGGGCACTCTCTATGCTCATTCACCGCACCCAATACATCGACCGTGCCGAGGCCATCTTTGCAACCGGCCTTATCCATATCATCCTCCTTTTCGCATACCCTTCCAACACCCGTCGCTCACAACAATGGCGCAACCGTCTCCGCCAGCTCCACATTTTGCCCCACACCTACCACTACCACAACTTCCTCTCCTCCAATTCAGTCTACATCAAGCTCCACTTCAATCCCGATCAGCCCCAACGCTGCTACCATCAGCATGGCCACTTCTATGTTGGCTCCACAGCTATTGGCATCCCCCACCGCGAGCACAATCGCCGCGCCAAACTCAAACAACTCCAAAACAACATTCCCATTTCTGCAGAACTCTCCCTACGTTATTGGCATTCACACAACAATATCCACCACTACACCACTATTCAACTTACCTCCCATGACACATATGACCAAGCCTGGATCCAAGAGCACCACTACATCGCAAACTGGATGCCTCCGCTCAACTGGCCTTTCATTTCCCACCACCTCAAACTCAAAGCTCAGGGATGGCAGTTCGCAAAACACAGAGCCCACTTCTACTCCAGATTAGCCACCCACAAACGACTTTTCAGACGCCTCCGACAACGCCAGTACACCCTCAGAGAACCACACCTCTACACTTCCACCAAGCATCACGCCCTCCAACTTCTTCGCAACCTTACCAAACACACCGCAGCCTCCTTTGAAGCAGCTAAAGAGCTACGAAGCGGCCGCCACACGGACCTCGAAGTCTATGCAATCCGGCGCATGGCCGCAAACCTGGAAGAACCTGGCCGCAGCCGAGCTCTCCACATCCTCAACAAAGCTCTGATCTACCGCAACCTCACGCCGCCAAAACCCAACATCCCCTTGACAGTGCCCTTCTTGGCCCATGACGACTTTACCAAGCACTGCCAACAGTGGCTTCGTACTACCATTCAGCAGCACAAGCAGTTCACCATTCCCCTCCACCTCCCCTCCCACAGACTGAGAGAAGCCGCCCACAAAACCCTCCGCTCCCACCTGCACAACCACCGCACATGGGAGGACACCCTCCACTCCCCGCCAGATCCAGCAGACCTCCCCTGTGCATGCGATCACCTTCGCACCCTCTTGCAGGATCCCGATACCCCCACCATCAACGGCCACTACATCCTCACACTGGACCAACTCCAACTCCCTGCACACCTCGGCATCTTTCTCAATGCCAATATGAACAGCACCTATTACCCAAGCAAAGCTCGATACTTCCTCATATTCAAGACGGCCTACACAAAATGGCTCAAACTACAAGGGCTTCCACCATCCCTCGTTCAGCATTTACAACCCTTCCTTGAGCACCAATGGCGCCTTCACAACACACACCTCAAGCAACAACCCCGCTTTACGGCCCGCCTGCTTCGCCAACTCCAAGAACATTTGGGCAAACACACATTACTCCACCATGCCGATCATGAGCTCCAACAACTTCGGCTGTTTTGCCCTCGCCAATATTTCACTGGCGCCTTGAACACCTGGCAATCCCCCGAACTTTTCGAACCACTTCCCTACATCACTGCCGCCAACATCCACGACCACCTGGCCGCCACTGTCCCCCCCATCCTGCGCACTCGCTACAAGTGGGGCTTCAGAAAAGACTTCAACATTCCCTACGGTGTTGTCCACCTCAAGGAGAAGAAGCACTGGCAAAAAGGCCGTACAATCATTTCATACTTCCAATCATTAAGTGGCAACCTGCTGCGCATCACCAGCCGTGCCCTTGACATTATCCTCCAACACCTCTACCCTCAACATCCAGGCCAAATGTCCATTCCCCAGCTTTGGCACCACTTTCACAGTTACCTCGCCCAAACTCCACCAGACATCTCGCTGCACGCCACCAACGATGACCTGGTCGGCTTTTTCAACTCCGTTCCCCAGCACCGACTCATCGATGCAGTCCACTCCCTCGTCCACCACTGGCAACAACAGCAATCCACACACACCTTAACGGTGGATGTCCAGGCCACCGGCAATCCTTTCCACCACTCACACATTGGCAGACACCATCGGAAACACCCTACCCAACGCACCATCCAGACTTCCGACATTACCACCATCGTGGCTTTCGCCCTCAACACATGCATTTTCCGGGCTTGCAACAACACGTACAAACAAATCCGAGGGGCCGGGATTGGATCCCAGCTCTCTCCAGCCCTGTGCAACGTTGCCATCACCCTCATTGAGCATTCCTGGCATCAGATCCACAACAACTTTACTTACTATCGCTATGTCGACAACCGCTTCATTGTCCACAACGAACATTTCCTTCAACACCCGGCTATCCAAACCCTTATCCACCACAATTTCTTTGGCGACCCTGTGGAACTAGAACCGGTGGAGGATTTTCATCTCCTCGGTTTCAACATCGACCTCCCACAACGCACCATCACCTACATGCAACCTTCTCAACTCTGGAAAATCCGGGATTCCACCACTGCCGGGAGCCAGCGCTTGGCTCTATCAGGCCTCCAATCACGACTTCACACCATTCGAAAATACACATTTCCACCCTCCAGCGCTGACGCTGCTGCGGCCGAACTCGTGAATCTATATGTCCAAAAGGGGCATAACTTTCAAGCCTGCCACCGGTTTTTGAAAAAGCGCCGAACGCGGCGACCTGTGTGTGTCCACCCCTGGACAAAGGGTCTTCCACCACCACTCTTTCCACCTTACATGAGCAGGGGGACACAGCATTTCACTGGGACTGTGTCCAACGAAGCTACCAGTGAAATGGGATATCCAGCTTGGCCAGCTGGACGTACCTGCTCGTTCTTTCACAAGCTGTTACTCCACTTTTCCACTTCTTGGTTCATGGTTCTTCACGATTTCCACCCCATAAACATTCGTCCCCAGCAGCTGTGCAGCCGGTTCGCTTTCCGCCGCTTGCGAGTGCCAACCTTGTTCAACAATACTGTTTTCAGCTGACCTTTCCACCTTGCTGTTCCATCACCTTCCTTCCCAACGTGGTAACTGAGTCACTGAATACAAGTGTCAGAGTGTGTCCACCCATGGGCCAAGGGTTTGCTGCTGCCACTTCCACCACCACTTTTCCACCATGTTTCACTTGCAGGGGGGCAGTGGACCGCTATCACTCACTGCCCAACGAAGACAGTGATAGCCCGGTCGTGAAATCCAGAAAGGACGCTTTCTGGACGTACCTGCCAAATGAACTTTTGAGCAAGCTGTCCAATTTGATCGGTTTGTTTCCATGGTCCTTCATGTTTCCTCCCCCCAAACCTTTTCCTCCCAGCAGCGCTGCAGCTTGAGCCGCTTCGTCACCGCAGTCAAGGGAAACAACCATTGTTCAAACACCTACAATTTCTCGGACTTTTCGCCATGCTGTTCCACCGCCATCCTTCCCATCGTGGTAACTGAGTTAACTGAATACAATTGCCAGAGTGTGTTTCGCTCAGCCGTCCCACTTGGGTGCTGAGTGTGATCCCCGTCATTGGGGCGCTGTTTCATCGTGAAAGCACTAACTGACCTTACCCCTTTTCACAGGAATTCCACCGGAAGTCACCGACACAACCTTTGAATTAACTGCCACAACGGCTGCCGAGCCTCACCACGGGAACTGATTCTCCACCGTTTCAGTAATCGTTTTAGTTGTCTGCAGGTTTTGTAGTTTTTGCTTTTTGCATTCTTGACATGCCTTTTCTGCATGAAGAACTCAAGCTAGCTGACCTGAGCTTCCGGAGTTAATTCGATATGCATGACCACAACACCACAGTACAATCCAGACTTCACACCATTCGCAAATACACATTTCCACCCTCCAGCGCTGAAGCTGCTGCTGCCGAGCTCGTGAGGCTCTATGTCCAAAAATGACACGACCACCAAGCCTGCCACCGTTTTGGAAAAAAAGCGCCGAAGACGGCGATCTGTGTGTGTCCACCCCTGGGCCAAGGGTTTGCTGCTGCCACTTCCACCACCACTTTTCCACCATGTTTCACTTGCAGGGGGGCAGTGGACCGCTATCACTCACTGCCCAACGAAGACAGTGATAGCCCGGTCGTGAAATCCAGAAAGGACGCTTTCTGGACGTACCTGCCAAATGAACTTTTGAGCAAGCTGTCCAATTTGATCGGTTTGTTTCCATGGTCCTTCATGTTTCCTCCCCCCAAACCTTTTCCTCCCCAGCAGCGCTGCAGCTTGAGCCGCTTCGTCACCGCAGTCAAGGGAAACAGCCATTGTTCAAACACCTACAATTTCTCGGACTTTTCGCCATGCTGTTCCACCGCCATCCTTCCCATCGTGGTAACTGAGTTAACTCAATACAATTGTCAGAGTGTGTGTGTGTGTGTGTTCGTCCGGGATGTTTGCCCGATAGATCTGCCCGACAGAGCCATTCTGTGGGGAAGTAAGCGATGGATATCGCGTCGAGCAATGCATTGACCATCATTGACCCAGTGCGGCTCGGCTCCAAGAGCACAAGTTACACATCGCGGCGTGGTTCCGAAACCACAATCTCCGTGTTGGCGGCTTCGACCGCGAAGCGGTGTAGAACTTTTTCTCTCATTTGCCAAGCACCTTTTTTCGCAACTTCCATTGTGCCAATTCGTTTGAGTTCTCGAGATCTGAGAGCCTTCAGGTGCGGATCTCACAGCTGCATGCCAGGCTCTTGGAGGCCAAGTAAATCAGAGTCTTAGAGTCGACCGGAGTCGCTGACCAAAGACGAAGCAGGATCCCACGGTTCCAAGAAGGATCAAAAGCGTTGAACATGTTTAACTAGTATTGAATGCTATTACACACTATACAATAGCTACAAACGGCATATGCCCATACATGCATGTCCATTCTCAAGATGAGAGCTACTGGCACACTCTGGCACTGGTTGATTTCCACATTTTCCCTTTCTACATGTAACTAGAAACTGTTAGGTTGGATGCCATCGCGAGTAGTAATAAAAGAACTTTCTAGTAACTAGAAGCTTCCTTCTACATCCTTCTGAAAGAGATGCTGTTTCACCCCTGCACCTTCGCGCCAGGCTCCAGCGCCTTGGTGGCCCTCCGCCCCGCCGGGTTGCTGGCGCTGGCGGTGGCGGGCACCAAGAGCAGCGCGGTGAGCGGGGCGATGGGCTCCAAGGCGAGGTGCGATGAAATCGGGCCCCAAAGCAACAAGATCGGCAAAACACAGGAATATGGGTATATCACTATTATAGTGTTAGTAGGTCCCAGGTATATATTAGTATTTGTATTTTTAGGTGAATGTTTTGCCAGGGGCGCCAGGCTTGATCCAGAATGGTTTTGTGGCAGTGGCACTGACTTGCTGCCTTGTTTTTCCTGGCTGTGTGACACAACTTATGCAGCGCACGTGTTCCAGATCACACGAAAGTTTGCATTCATATTGAAAGCCGACAGGGTTGTCCTTGAAAATCTAACATCTTCCCCAGACCGCCCTGCAATTGGTTCAGGTCGTTGAAGCAGCAGTGCAGGTCGGGCCTGTTTGTGTGTCCGGGGTGTTTGTTGTGCGCAGCGACTGGACTCGTGACTCGTGACTGGGAGTTGAAGATCTCGCGGTCGACCGAGGGCATAAGTGTGTAGAAAACCATGGATGACCCACAATTTTCAGAGATGTTTTGCTTACAAAGATATAATATTCTGTTCATACTCTTTGGCAATGTTAATAGTTTCATGCTGCTTGCTGACATGGGCTGCTTTGCAGCCAGTGTCATAAATTAGGCTCTTTGCAGAAGACCTTCGTCAGTTAGCTTCATGCCACATAGGGAACCAATACCGAAAGATGGAAGCTGATGTTGCCCTGCAAGTTGGTGAAATTGCATCAGAGGGTGCAAGAGCGACCCGTAGTCACAGAAGATGAGTTTTAAGATCGCGAAGCGCGAGAGGGGCATTTCCCACCGTACAAGTGACACCAAGCGGAGAGACACGGAAATCCCCTCCAAGAATGCTTTTGAACATGTGTTTGCCTATATAGTATTTTAAAAATAAACATATAATCATATATATATATATTTCGTTTGCCTACATTTGGCGGCCACTTTGTAGCAATGCTACTGCGAAGTTCTCCAATCAGTTTCAATGTTCCGTTCCCCTTTCCGAACTCCGCTCGTCTCGAAATTCTTGGGGCCTTCACACCACCGCCATGGTATTCATACGACGTATTTATGATACTTTATGATAATTGGCTGGTGGATTTGCTGATCCATACCTCCTATAGGGCCCTAGGGGTGGGGCAACTCCCTCTCCCTCTCCTGCGCTTGTTTTCTCGTGAGGTCCTGGACTCTTGGACTGCGCATGAGGCGAGCGGTGCTTTTTCTCCGATTTTGGCGCTGCTGTGATGCTGTAAGAAGACCCTTCAGGACGTGTGCATTAGATACAGAGCCAACCTAGGCTCCACCTGATCATGTGGTGATTCGTGATAACTCGGAGAATCGCGCGGCTCTGCCGGCGATCCATTTTTCAAGTTTCTGACCTATCAGCTTCTGACGGTAGGGTGTTGGCCTATCGTGGCAATGACGGGTGACGGAGAGTTAGTGTTTGATTCCGGAGAGGGAGCCTGAGAAACTGCTGGATGTCAAATCCCTTTACGAGTGATTTTCAATTGGAAGGCAAGTCTGGTGCCAGCCGCCGCCGTGGCAATATTAGCTCCAATAGACTCCTATAGCGTATATTAAATATTAATAAAGTTGTTGTTGTTGTTGTTGTTGTTCACCACCTGCCAGGTGAGGGTTGTTAGATTTTATCTGAGCTCTACTCCTCCTCCTCCTCCTCCTCCTTCTTCTTCTTCTCCTGCTCCTCCTCCTCGCCATCTCCTCGCCGACTCTTGAATGCAGTGGGCACTACCGGACCTCAACCACAAGCTCGTGATCGCAGTGGGCACTACCGGACCTCAACCGCCAGCTCCCGATCGCAGTGGGCATTGCCGGACCTCAACCGCCAGCTCCCGATCGCAGTGGGCATTGCCGGACCTCAACCGCCAGCTCCCGATCGCAGTGGGCATTGCCGGACCTCAACTGCCAGCTCCAGATCGCATGGGCATTGCCGGACCTCAACCGGCAGCGTCGGAATATCAGATAGAATGTCAGATAGCACGCCAGAAAGAATGTCAGATAGAATGTACCAGATAGAGTGGCAGGTAGAGTGGCAGAGAGAAAGAATATCAGAAGATGTGCCAGAAAGAATGTCAGAAGTAGAAATGCCAGAAAGAATGTCAAAAATATGCCTGCCAGAAAGAAAGCCAAACATAATGTTAGAAAATTTGCCCGAAATAATGTCAGAAAGAATGTCCGAAGATATGTCAGAAAGAATGTCAGTTGATACTATGCATAAATATTGCGAGAAAGAATGTCAGAAGATATGTCAGAAAGAATGTCAGAAAGAATTGCAAAAATATGCCAGAACAAATGTCAGAAGATATGCCATGCCGAAATAATGGTTCAATACATGCTGCGAAAAATTGTCGGATTGAAGTGTCATGGTGGGGATCACTCGAAGTGAAGTATTTTTTGTTTGGCTAAAGTGCCCTGGGCTGCATCAATCTGGTTCGACGCAGTACTGAGTTTTTGCACGTTGCGCTGGAAAGTTTCAAAAACAAGGTGCTGTGAGCGATGGTTCGGCTGAGGCGAATCACTTGTAGGCTGCAATCCAAATGACCAAGGAAGAAAGGATGCAGAAAGGTGATCTAACTGAAATGATCTGAAATGATTTCTCGTGTTTTACGTACAGACAAATTTGCCCGCGCTGAGGGTGCTGAGGCCTTAAACTGTGACCAGTGCGCTCATCGTTTTGTAGCTTTAGCTTGGGGGGGTTGCACGAAAATACATATGACATATTCTGCATCATGAGGTGTGTCTGGGAGAGGAGTGGCAGTGGGAGAAACGGATTGAAAACAAGTGGTTATCATTTATGCATGACTATATTTTTCATTGCCGTATCATTTGCATCACCACGTAAAGGCAAACAAATGATTCCTCTAAACAGTCTGCAATTTTTTTAATATATCTTTCATGCATCATATGCATCGGCTAGTGCATCGGCTGGTTGCAAAATGTATATATAGTTTATTATGTTAGCATACGCATCAGTCGGTTGCAAGTGCGAAGTTTATTGTACAAAATGTTTGCAAATTAGAAAATATGGACCCCTTCAATATGTACATGTTCAAGGGGTCGAAAAATACATCCAACAATGCGTTCACACAATTTGTAAGATTGTCAAACATAGCGTGGTTATGGAGAAACATGATGAGAGATTTTGTGGGAGGGTCCAAAACTAGAGTGATTATACACATTTTTCTATATATTATTCATCCACTTCATGCTGTTGTCATCTCAAAGTTTTGTGTCGATCATGCACATTGTATAGTCTATTGTATAATTTTTGATATATTCATTTTATGATTGACCTCCTTGAAACTGTACATTCTTCAGGGTGTCCAACTTGTGTTTTTTGCAAGCAGTATTTCATATATATTGGACCCCTGAAAGATGTACAATTTCAAGGGCGTCAAAAAATTGCAAGTTGCCAGAAATACAGAACTAAGCAATTTTTAAGGGTGTTTACAAATAGAATGATTATTGATACTTCTTTGTTTCGTCATCCGCTTCATGCTGTGTTCATCTCTAAGTCTTGTCTCGATGCTGCACAGTGTATAATTAGTTGCACATAGAATCACTATTTGTTCATCCCCTTGAACATGTACAATTTCAAGGGGGTCGAAAGTAGTTCCAACAATGCTTGCAAAATGCAAGTAAGACATAACTAAGCAATGTATCAAAGGGTCCAAAAAATAGAGTGGTTATAGATATTTGTTTAACCCTCTCCCGGAGAGAGAAGTTGGCGGGCGGTTGTCGTCACGAATCGATGTGAATATGAAACTTGCGATTTTTGTTGGAGAACCACGCGGCAAAACTTGCCATCCATCCATTTGCCACGTGACCTGTGGATGGTTCAGGCCATCCGCCTCTTGCTGGCAGTGGCCAAAGCCAAGCCCAGCGCGCAGGCGCGCAGCGCTGGTGCGCAGCGAGTGCAGAGGATGGATCATCCCGATCATTCTGACTGAAATAGAACCCTTCGGAGATGTTGACGCAACAAACATGAACATTTTGCTGACGAGAAAACAATGTTTTGGACTACACAGGGTCCATCGCGTGCCGGTGGTCCACGGCTTCCTTTCCACAGTCCGCAAGAGATTAAACCATGATGCAAGTCATGATGCACTAGTGTCCGGTTACTAGAGTCAATGAATTATTTGGCTAAACTGACGCCATTTCAGGCTTGACTGGCCTGCTTGCTGACACTTGTGGTGGTGCAGCATGTTCGGGCGACTTATGCGCTGATCAAATTGAATTTGTTGGTGTTATAAATATACGTATATATATATATATTCTAGCCCCCCCAAAAAATAAACACATGCTTTACACATGCTTTTAATTTAGCTCGAAGTTAGTTCGATTTAGTTTTATGTTAATTGAACTTTAGTTTTGCTTATATTTCAATTTATGTGTAATTAATCAATGCAAAGTTAATGCTAATTAATTTGTACTTCTTTTCAATGTAGTTTCTATATCTAATATAACTCTCTTATTTGTCCAATCCAGTTTTGGCTTTATGCAATTCTAACTTGCTAATCAAAATAGAATTATACTAGAAATGTAAACATAAAATTGAGTTGTAAACTAAATTTGAATTAAGATTTAACTAGCTGAAACTAAAAATTAATTACAAACAACTCAAATGCAAACCAAACTAAATTTGAATTAACATACAACGCAATTAGAACTAACTTCGAGAGAAACTAAAAGCAAAGTAGATTAAATTAGATTTGAATTGGATTTAACTTTAGATTGAATCAAAATTTATTGGTTTGAATTAAAATAGAATTGAAATAGAATTGCTTAACCTGCAGCTCGATTAGAATGCAATTACTGTAATAATGAATCAGAATTGTATTTATTTTAAATAAGATTTAAAGGCAAAATGACATTTACAATAGAACTAAATTAGAGTTGAATTCAAACTGGTTGGAATTGAATTAAACTCAAACTGGAGATTGAAACTTAACTTATATTGGAAATCAATTAGATTTAAATGAATTCAATCAGGTTCAATTTAGAATTTAAAAATACAAACTCATAATATAAATAACTTAAGCAATAACGAAATTGTAATTCAATAGAATTAAATGATATCTAAATGTGTTTTTATTCAATTTCAGTTCAGTTTTGGTTTATCAAAATTAGCTAAACTTGTATTACACATAAAATAGAAATGAATTAGATCTAAATTTGAAGTCAATTGGAACTATCTATGAAAATTTCAAAGAACGTTTGATTATATTGCAATTCAATTGAAAACCAACATCCAATAAACGTATACAGGTTGTGCAAAAGCCCAATTGACCAAAGCACAGACAAAACCAAAAAAAACGGTGAGGATAATTTTTGGTTCAGGCTCAAAAGATTGTATTTGTTGGTTTTCTTTGTGTTGTTTGTTTTGAAATCGAAAAAGACTTGTGTTGTTTGTTTGTTGAAGGTTTAGTGCACTAGGAGACTACCAAAAGCAAAAACAAGATAGATTTGTTTTTTTTGTTGTATTTGATGTTTGGTTATACTCATAGCAAATCATCGAAAAACAAAAAGCCTTGTTTTTACTGGTTTTTGGTAGTCTTCAACCATAAACTTTCAAAGCAACAGAAAACACAATGTGTTTTTTGTTTTTTTGATTTCAAAACAAAAAACAAGGAAAACCAAAAAGAACAACATATTTTGAGGCTGAGCCCAAATTTATCCTCAAAGTGTTGTTTTTTTTTTTGTGTGTTTTTGTTTTGGTTTGTTATGTTGTTGCTGTTTGTCATTGGGGATATTTTTGTTTATGGGTGTCCTTTCATTTGTTTGTGTTTTATTCATTGTGAAGTACCTTATTTGTTGTTAGTTTTTTTAATACAAACATATCCCGAAAACACTGCAAAATACCAGTAAAATGCATGAAAGGGTGTTTTTTTTTTGGGGGGGTACCATATACTTCCTATGTCCTATGTGTCTCATGGGTAATTTGTTCAAAGGTTTGTCAATGTAAGAATGTGTTGGTTACCTTTGCATGATGGACGTAGAACACTCAATGGCTTCTTCTCAAATTAAAGGTCTGTCAACGAGTATGTTCCACCATGCCAGATGACTGCACTTGGACGCGATATGTTCAACTCTTGGTCCGCACTGCCAGGCTCAAGAGGTCCCAGGGCCATTGTGGGCGAAACTACTGCAAAAGGCTGCGGCAATCGCCTCTCGGCTGAGTGGCAAATGGCAGGGTTGGCAATGACATGCGTCCATGCAGCCTGCCACACACAGCCTCCCGCATCCTGCTTTGTTTTCATTATTTTGCGATCAAACAAGTGGGGTGGGCAGGGGCCCAAGCCTTTTGCAGACTCCATTTTTTGCGCAAGCAGGCATACACATACTTGTGATAACGGGTTTAGGCCCACTCCTGCAAAAAAATTATATACATATATAAATACATCGTTATGCAGAATTTTATACCCAGTCCATGGTCAGTTACCCTCCCTCAATGTGAGGTAGAGCTGACTCTTCTTGTCCACCACCCCTTACCAGCATGCGTTCCCCTTGTCATTGTGCGAACCTGCGTGTTTGACCACCATCCCAAACTGGCGGGCCCATCCTTCTTCACGGATTGGGAGGGGTGTTGGTTCACAAACAAACTCAACCCATGAGACACCTTCAATGCGTCTCAGTAATCTAAATGTACAGTAATTATAATTATTAAGATGTATGAAGTGTTTTATTGAAGTAGATGAACCCCGACAAACGTGCAATTGGGGCCTTTGATGAGCTTTGTTTGCTTTGCATGCTAGCTTGTTTGTTCCCATGTAGTTGGAGTTTTAGGGTCGCGTTTGGTCAGCTGCAGGTCCTGGGTTTAGCCGTATTCCAGCCATCCAAGTCATGAAACACTTAAACACCGTTTGTTGTCATCAATGGCAATGTTTCATAGAGTACAGAGTACACTTCGACAGTCTCAGCTACTTACACGAAAAGAACTGTTATCCATCGGAACGGGGACCCACAGTAGAAGATTGGTCTCCGATGTTCTATGGCCTGTCGAGTGTACCTGATTTCGGGTAGTACTGTTTCACTTTAGAAGTGTGATAATATGTTAATATACCCAATAGTTCCGGCAAGGTTCCAAGTAAACCCAAATATTGTGGCGGTAAATAGACGGGGATGGTGCTTTCACCATGGTGAACATCTAGCGACCATAGGAGACCAATCTGTTGATATCCCCGTTCATCCTAAACCAACATGGCCAAGTCTTCTTCAAATCAGTTTATTGAAGAAAACGTCTTCTTTCTGCGTCTCTTCACGGTTCAACCGTTTTTGCTTTGAGCCGTGGCGTTGATGGTTTGTTTCGCCAGCGTTTTTCTGTCGCCGGTGCAGGTGACGCCCAGCTTGCGGGAGCTACCCCCAGCGGAGTTGATCCGTTTGGCCCTAGCGGCCAAGAGCCATGCAGCTCAGGGTCAGGAGCCAAACAGACGACGAAGCAAGGGGGCAACATGCGAAAAGAACACGGGGATAACTAAGCAAACCGTAGGCTGATAAGATGTTGTAGTTCTCGGTGTAGTGAGATCTTCAGTGAATCTCCAAAACATTCCAAAACGATTGAGAGTTAGACATGAGTACATGTCTTGACATTACATGTTTTGTTGATTCTTATTTGTCGTTTTGAGTTTTGACTGTATGCTTTTAGATTTGGATTCTATGATGGCACCCAGCTGCCAGGAGCTTCTGGAGGCTGTGGCCACCGCGGCCATCCAGCGGCTGGGGGAGTTGCCACAGGCGGTCACAGATGGGGCTGTGGGTTTGCTTAGAAGACTTTGGAAGACTTGGGATACCTCTTCTAACGTAGCACCACTTAGAAGTCACTTGAATCGCAAAATAATGACGGTGATGGTGTTCTAAGGACGTGTATGTTTCTTTTCCTCCATATGGGAATAGGTCTCCCACTGCACAAACAGTGTATGGAAAGTATTGTGTCGTTTTGTTCAACCAGTTTGTGTTTCACAAACTGTTCACATAAATAAGCATGCGAAACGGCGTTGTGTTTTCTTTGTTGTTTCACCAGACTGTCACGAACCTGCTAGCTAGCGTCCTCATCCTTGAACGAGCGCTGAATGAACCTTTGAACGACAAGGGATCCCGCAAACCCCGGAAATGTTGCAACCTGAGTCTTTGCATTCCGAGCCCGGAAATGTTTGACGAATGTGTTCATCATCCGCTTCACAAAAGTCTGATCTAATCTAAGAGCTGAGCGTCAAAGAGCTGAACCTGAGACTTGAGATCAAGTTGGGTCAACTTGGCTGAACCAAGAGGTCGTCAACATTGAAGTTGAGCTGAAGAAGGAGTATCGAGTTGACAAGCCGAACAACTTTATTCAACTTATATATCCAACTTCAAGAACTTTGTTCAGCTTAGTTCAACTCCAAGTTCTCTCCACTTATACGCCAAACGCCGCAGATCCTGGGCGGCCAACCAGTGCCCCTTAAAACCAAAGTCTGGGAGTCATACCGACCGACATAGAGAAGACAGCTACGTTAATTACTGTAGCATCCAGTCGAGTAAATATATGCAGCATGCATTTTGTAAAAAAATGGGTTCACTGTTTTTGTTGTGATTAGCTTCCAGCCTGTAGCTACCTGCTCCCTGCCGCGGTCCGCACGGTCTCAAAGAAAAGAAGAACACACCATCCGCTGTTCGGGGCAGGCGCACTTGCTACTGATGACCCAAGGTCTTATTGCCTTGGGAGGATGCGGAGAGGGATCACGGGAGTGGAAACGGGGGCGGGAGCGGGGGTGTCGCGGTTGAGAAGCTGCAACCCTTCAGTAACATGGAAACCAAACGAATCATGGAAAAAGATATTCCAGAGAGTCCATGTCTTCACTGATGGCCTTCAAGCTGTCGGTTGCATGTGTACCATTTCTTTGCGAAGCATCACAATCGATATAATTTCATATCTTTTTGGATCATTTTTTCGCCAGATTTTCGGCGCAATGGCGGAGCGAGTATCTTCCGTGTCGGCAACAACCACCGTGCCGCGCAGTCTTTTTATTGAAGAGAGACTTGTCGACATATATAAAAGGCTGCCAATGAAAGGACGGAATGCGGAAAGACATGGACATCCACGCCTCAGGATGAATGCAGAGTTTTGTGTTTTTTGTTGTGGGCCCATCCGGTTGTTGAATTAGACCCCGGAAATAGATAGTACCCATAATATGTAGTTTTTCTAGCCTACGGCCTACGGATCAAAATGTTGCCTCACAAACTGCGTGGTCGGCTTTTTGATGCGTTTTTGAGAGCCTTCCTTCGTCACATGTCCACCTCACACGCCCTGACCTGGAACATAGTGTATTCGTTTGGTCCTATTGCCTTGAACTGGAAATGAACTTCACATGGTTGCGAACTCCCCACCCTGAAAAGAGCAAGAGACTAGCTTGTGGGATGTGGATGGAGTCACCATGGGTTTCATAGCTACAAGCAACAAATGCATCGCTACTAGTAACAAGGGCATTACGATATTCTATGGATCTATGGAGTCACCGGGAGCCCGGTGCCCCCCAATTCAGTTGGTCGGCTGCGCAGCTTCGAAATTCTTCGGCATGCCACTTCGGAGTTCGTTCGCTCCGGACATGCGCCTTGGGATGTTCCTGCGGTTTGGGAGCGCCTTGGGGCGTAGTAACAGGAGTCTGAGTCTTAATGGGATCTTCTCCCAACAAGGTCAACGGACGACGTTATTCTACTCTGTTCCTTTATTGAGCAGTGTTTGTCAAACGCTTGTCCAGCACTATTACACTGTAACCCTTCATTCATTGGCTTACCTGAATATTGATAATAACCACCCAAATAATTTGAAGTCAACCCCACCAAAATGTTAACCCTGTCTTGTTGGTGTGCCGGGGAATGCCTGCGCCATGCGACACCTCCCCCATGCCATGGTGCATTGCGCCCCCTCAAGGAACTACACCATCGTCAAGAAGCTGGGCAAAGGGCAGTTCGGAGAGGTGAAGGAAGTCTTGAAGACTGGGACCCAGTCACTTGGTAAAGACAAACTAGTAGAAAGGACGCTATTAGGAGGCCATTGCTATTAGGTTGGATGCCATCGCTACTAGTAGCTAGAAGCTACTGTTTGTCCGATCATTCAGGTGATGTCCGGTGTCCGGTCGTTTGAAGCTGTCAACCGATGTCGATCTGTGCGCCTTGCTGTCTACAAAAACCAATGTCGAAGGTCGGCTTCAGAATGCGTCGGTTCGTTCGATGGCACCGGGTCTGAGACCACCGACCTTTGGGGATTGTGCCATCGCCATTGGATTCAGGTTCAATCGGTTGCCGCGAAAGAACGGCGATGAGAGATACTTCTTTTTGGGTGATCTAACTGGGAGACTGGATCCACTGGGAGCCTATTGAATGCATCGTGTGTCATCGACCGAATTGGAGGGACTGGCCATCGATCGTCACAATTGGGAGGGCCTGAAACGGAGCAGACGCATCGAGCGGGCTGGCATGTGTTCTTTGATGCGGCTGTCAGTCTAAAGAAGCACACAAGGATGGTGAACATGTCCAGCTACCATATGTACTGTATATCGATGTATAGTTGTTCAATGTAGGTTTGGGATGCTCACGACGGATGTCATTGAGAATCGGAATCTTATGGTTGTGTTGGTTTTCTGCTCGACTTGAGGCAGCGGTTTGCATGGAAGCAAGTCACATCGGAGCAGGATCCATACTACGAAGTTGAAGCTCAAATACTTCGAGACCTGCATCATGATGGCATTGTGAGCATCGTTGAAGCCTACTCCCAAGACGGCGTCGTAGACATGGTGCTAGAGCTGTGCCAAAAGAGCTTGCAGTTCGATATGGACTCGCGATTGGAACCTGCTCCAATGACTGGCAAAAAGCAATACATGCGCCCTCGATCGTGCGACATTGCTTCGACCATGGAGCAACTCTTAGCAGCGGTGTACTTTCTTCATGAGAACGGGGTGTCGCACCGTGACATCAAGCCTGACAACGTCCTCATGTCAGTGGGTGACTTGGCGATGGAGCATACAAAGGGACACCAGACGTGCCAAGCAGGGTCGCTTCGAAGGTGATCTAGAAGTTTGTTTAACACTAGCCGCTAGCCCGCTAGCTTACAACGGCACAAAGATGCACAGAGTAAAGTGGAAGGGGACAATGACATCAACAACCAGCATCTAATGTGTACTCTGGACAACCTTAAGCACAACCACCATAATGTGTTCAACAAGTTATTATTTCAACATTATTCAACAAATTAATACATATTGATATGATGATATACGATTTATATGTTTACATATGTTTATATTATGAAATCAGTAAACAAAACGCACACATCTTACATGAGGTGATGGTAGTGGTGATGGTTACATATCCCCCTTCTCGGGTCTATCCCCCCACACGTATACCCAGCGACCGGGACCGGTCGAAAGATGGAAGTAACGAAGCCAAATCACACAGGATCCACTTCCAAAACGGTTGGTGTTTGGAGCTCAAGACGGATTGCACAGTTCTTTAGACTCTAGACATGAGATGTCCATGCTTTCAATTTTATCCTTCAGCGTCCTTGTTACTAGTAGCGATGCCAGGAGCCCCTAGTAGCGTCCTTGCTCCTAGTAGCGATGCCCTTTGCTCCTAGTAGCTTATCGTTACTGTATTTGCATGATTACACATTGTTACATGTTTTAAATCTGGTATATGGATGTTAGTTGTGTTTCATGGTTTTGCTTTGATGAATGGATTGCAGTGCAGCAGCAATTCTCCAAGCCAATTCCATTGCAAAGATAAATCAACATGTTTGTTCGATGCTGCCTGAGACTGTGCCGGAAAGGCGGCACGTGGAAGCTGGCCGACTTCGGTTTGGCGACCCGGTTCAACCGCGGAAGCTACATGACCGGAGAGGTCGGCACCCAACCCTTCATGGCCCCGGAAGTGGAGCAAAGGCACTACACCGAGAAGTGCGACATCTACAGCCGATTGCCGGCCATTGGTGGGACGGAATCCTGTTTTTTTGGGGGAGGGCATCCAGGAACTTCTTATTAGGAACCTATGGTGTATATAGATCCAGTTTCTAGTTTGGGTTTGAACGGTTGTTTTCTGCAGCGGATACCAGCTCGGGCGAAGATCGACCATCACGGTCGCTTCCAATACTGCCAGAATGAACATTAACAAGGTTTTAAACGTGTCAAAACATATCCAAGAAAGTCCAAGTTCATTCAGTATACAGTATACTTCTTGGCTATCCAACTGAATCCGAATGAAAGGTAAATGGTGCAAAAAGACCATCGCTGGTGATGACTAACGGTGTTCCACTGTTCTGCTTGCCGTTTCTCCCATGGTTTCCCTGCGATAGTGAACAGCACTTGGCAAAGCACTCGGGTCACTTAGGGATGTCACTGGGTTGCATAAGTTGAACAAATAGATAGAACTTGGACGTCCAGCAGCCACAAGGAGGCCAGATGAGGCCAGGTTTTTTTGTTTAACCATCAAATGAATTCAAATGTGTTTCAACCGAACAACGAAGCTTCGCTCCTTTAGGCATGGGAGTTCTCTTTATCGCCTTGACGATCGGGAAACAGTGGTGGCGGCCAGAGAGTGACTCGGCGCCGCAATGATCATGTAGATAGTTGATGCTATTTTAAGACGCGATATGAAGAGGTTTTACAATCCAAATGGGCGGGGTGATTGATCAACAGTTTTGACACCTCACCTCTCTAAAATGCGGAAGACCATGTGGCAGCTTGAAATTGATGACCTAGCAGGTTGTATGAAGTCCAATTGCTTTAGGACCCAACAGGCAGCTTAAAAGCTAGATGCCTTGCTTTACAAGCTGTTTGCATTTGCTAGGCCTCCATCCAGCAGACCCTCGATACGTTGCAGGTATTGACGGGGTCCCAAAGTCGTATGAAACATCCCAAAGCTACAGACTGAGGTCTGGAAGACGACGAGGCCAAAGAGCAGGCCAAGCAGATCTTGACGCTAAAGACCTGGAAGGAACAAGAGTTTCTTGGTGTCCATTTCAAGTGGATGAACATTTGACGATCTGTTGAAAGAGATCGAAACATCTCGGAAATGGTCTTGCAAGGTCTCACAAATTACTTTAGCAAGAAACTTCCCACTCTTAAGAAGTCAGACGAAGAGTTTTCGGGGCGACCGTATCTCCAAGATCTTACTGATGCCCGTTTTCCGGAAACGCAGCTGTGGCTGCATAGTGTCACTATCACTATACTACAATACACATATATATATATACACACTTACACAACTAGAAGTGACACCATGCCTGAATGCTCCATGGATGGGTCCGTCTATATAAACGGTGAGTCCAAAGTTGGCAACCATACAATTTATGTTCAACTTTATGACACATATGTTTGTTAGATTGGTTATAGAATACAGTATGTACATATATATATATATATATACATCACAATGGTTTAAATATGTACTCGGCTTCAGATGTAAGAGTGCTTTCATTGAGAACTTCCATCGATTCATGACGGCTTGCGAGCCGCGGTTCGCTCGGCTGAAAACCGAGGCTCAGCGCTGGCGCTTTGGAGTTTGCCAAGCGGATGGTGTCTTCGGAAAGTGAGCGCGGCAGTGCAGAAGACGCCCTGAAGAATCCATGGTTGCAAAAATTATCCTCGCAAGCAGGCTGTTGTGTAATCAATTAGACGAATATCTAGAAACATCGACCGTTCCTTCCAGCTTGCAGGTTATTATGTCATCATGATATCAAACAAGAAGGCCTCATTCTCTTTGCACTTGGGAATGCAACTCCAGAAACATTAGATTGCATTTGCCTGGTCGAACTCGACTGGCTCTTTTTCTCGCAATCGTGTCAAACTCGGCATGATCAGTCCTGTTTTGCAATGATTTTCAGCTTTCCAGACTGCCCAGTCCACCCAGGGTCTCCTGAAATCTTTAACACGTGGTGCGTCCTGCACCGCGGGAGATCTGGAAGGGAGGACAGGCACATCTTCACTCGTTTGAAGAAAGCACTGTTTTGTCGGGTGTGTTTGTTTATGTGTTTGCTTTCTTCAAAGGCCCATATGAAAGTTGTTCATATGGCTCATATTCTTCCACCAATCGTCTGAATCTTCGGGATCCTTGCACAAAGACCCGAAGGCGAACAATTGAAGACAAAATGTTGCAGCCGTGAGGCGCCATGCGAAACTCCAGCCCCAAAGATACCCAAGCCCCTCCGGACTCTACAATCTATGCAGTGAGATCCAATTCCTGTATCTCGGAAGTAAGCTCTCCTGAAATAGTTGCTGTCATTCAAAATGGGGATATCCAAGTGGAGGCGTCGCTTTTAACCAAAACCAGGCACCTGGAATAGCAAATTGAAGCTTCCTCGTTTCCCTGTGTAATTTAAGACCTTCGTCAACAGAATGTACCCTTGTTTCTGTATATATATATAGTTGATTGCCAAGTACCAGGACCTTCAAATTAATCATGAGGTCACTTAGGCCCGTAAAAGGTCACTTGAGACTCCAAAGAGGTCACTTTGAATGTTATGTACGTACATAAGAATGGATAACTTTTAAGCGTATCCAGTAGAACTTGTTCAAATTCAATGCATCTGTTTGTGCTTATAGCAATGGTGTTTGCACTTTTCAATGAACGCACCAGAACGCACGATATCACTGGACATTATTCCTGACTTCAACGAACGGACCAACTCTTTGCACTCCAACGATGGCCTTCTGACCTTTTGCCTCTGGTTCAAGTTAAATAGGACCTTCTGCCTTTTTCCTTAGAAGTCAACCGATTGCAGTGATTGTCATGGCCTTGGTGGTGGAACCTATGTCTCGCACGTCACAAGCAAGGGCTATGTCACGCAACTCTGAGATTGAAGAGAGACTTGTCCATGTGACGTCGATGCATTCGTTTGTTGAGCAAGCTCTTGCTCACCCGTGGAATGAATATGTAGGACCATCACCGATATGTCATAAGCCTCTTGATTTTGCCAGCAACTTGTTGAATAAGCAATAAGTCCCACTCACGGAACAAGGCTTGCGGACATTTCGCTGGTTCTCCATCTCAGGGTCAGTAGCGGGTCCGATACTCTTTGTATGTAGATTTCACGGCTTTGATACTATATATGGCTCGAACAAATTTTGCCCAACAATATCCTCAGAAGGTTGTTAGACCCCCCAAACCCACCCACCCCAACCACCTTTGAAGCGGAGGTAGTTGGAGCCTTATAGGGTTTAATGAGTCGTTTGCGCATGTATTGTGGACCGATGACCGGTGAACGCATGTTATGGACCGATTCCTCGCACACTCCATGGAGCGGAACTGGAAATTGTGCACATAGGGAATAGAAAACATCACACGGTTTGGCCAAGCAGTACTGTATATATATACATATATACAATATATATAATACATACATCCTGGGAATGATGTCATCCAAAATCACTCGAAAATCAAAACATTATTCTTTTACATGTCGCGAGCCAGCTCTTCAGAACACTCCAACCTCAACAGGAGGGACCCTCTAAAACACAAACCGACAAATAGGATCAAATGGGACAAGGTTTAGTGGGGGATGCGTGCAAGGTGTTTCTTAGCTCATTTCTTTGGCTTGGTTGGTTTGGTTGGTTTCGGGTCCGCAGCCATCGGTCCGTGTTTGTTTGTTCTGCCTATGTTGACCGGTAAGTGTGCAGTGGCTCCTCATCAACTACGGATGAGGAAAGGATCGAGCAGCAAACAGAGAGTAGCTATATAAAGAGAATGAAAGAGATGTCTTCTAATGCAAGTGCCGGGGATGGCTGTGCCATGCGACACATCCCAACATGGTGCATTGCGTCCAAGGAACTACAATATATAAACATCAAGAAGCTGGGCGAAGGGCAGTTCGGAGAGGTGAAGGAAGTCTTGAAGAAGGGAACCCGGTCGCCCGGAGACACAGATTGCTTGTGACACACCACACACACTTAAGATGTAAGTACGCTACCAAATATGCCCAGAAGAGGCCTGAGAAAACAGTGCCTGAGCTTATAGAAGCAAGTAAAAACGTCGTGCGCCGGCTCCAAATGAACATCGATACCGAGTCTTTGGCATCGCCAGATGTTCCTGTCAATGCCGAGTGTGAACACCTGCCAAGTCTCTGACTGTCTCTGACTGCAAAGGCTGGTTAGATTCTTCGCGCATCTGTATACGCAGGCATATCATGGCAGAAGCGTCTTCATTGAGCGTCTTCCAGTAAAGGGGATTTCTACAGGGTTTTGACCGTAACTCACTTCATGTGTAGGGTGCTCACCAGGGTTTCAAGGTTTGACCCCTAACTATCAGAGGCGAATACAGAGACCCTCCAGAGTCAGAGTCAGAGTCATGATGTATATTTGCTCTATGTGGGAATTGAGGCAGCGGTTCGCATGGAAGCAAGTCACATCGGAGCAGGATCCATACTACGAAGTTGAAGCTTAAATACTTCGAGACCTGCATCATGATGGCATTGTGAGCATCGTTGAAGCCTACTCCCAAGACGGCGTCGTAGACATGGTGCTAGAGCTGTGCCAAAAGAGCTTGCAGTTCGATATGGACTCGCGATTGGAACCTGCTCCAATGACTGGCAAAAAGCAATACATGCGCCCTCGATCGTGCGACATTGCTTCGACCATGGAGCAACTCTTAGCAGCGGTGTACTTTCTTCATGAGAACGGGGTGTCGCACCGTGACATCAAGCCTGACAACGTCCTCATGTCAGCGAGTGACTTGGCCTGGAATCCGGAGTCGTGGCAATGATGTAAGACACCTTCCTTAGGATAAAACATCACCCACAACAACTATGATTTTTTTTTGTCTTGAAGTGCACCGAGTCTTTTCATGTGGCAAATCTTGTGCATTGAGATGCATTCTCTTGACAAGATGTGTCCTCTATTACTATAGAAGCTTATATATCCGCTTGTAGAGGCCTTCATGAACATGTCCTCAAAATACAGGGACCCAATCGTTCGTCAAACCCTGTTCCTGACAAAATCTGACAAAGAAAAGTCCCTGCCAATAAATGTTTGATTGTTTGCTTCCTTAAACATGCTGTGCTTCACGAGTGTTATATATTTCTTTTGTGAGCGGAGCGCCGCGCCCTATACCACGATAGTCTTCTTTATGCAGCTCAAAGGAAGTACGCCTTCCCCTTTGCAAAACGTATTCCCCTCTAACAGTATTCCCCATATACAAATGTTTCCTTCATATGGCAAGACACCTCCTTTAGAGAAGTGTTCCTTCAGATGAATTTTCTACCGAGTCTATATATACATACATAAGGACCTGTTTCTTGGTGAAGTGCACCTGTTCTATTATTCTTCCCAAATCTGGTTGAAATGTGTCTCTTAACATTATTTTCTATCCATTCCTTTCCCAAGTCCCTTATCAAAAGTACCCTCTACTACTTAGAAGTTGATTTGTTTTGTCAAGCCTTTCTCCTCACGAGCCTTCTCATCTATCACAACAGTCCCATCCTTTATCCATTCTATTCCCTGCAGAAGTCTCTTCTTTGCAAAGACATGTCGTTTCCTTTTTTGAGGTCCTCGCTCTTTGTGAACTTGTCATCTCCACCATAAACCCCCACCTGTGTACAATAGTCTCCTAAACTAAGTGTGCTTCGTAGTTGCTAAGTGGATTGAAACATGTGCACTCACTTGGGAACCACAAACCTCCTAGGAACATGAACCTGAACCAAGCCTTTTTTTGGTATCTCCATAGTGCATTCATATGTCTTACTTCTTAGTGTTGAAATGTTCAAGAATGACCCATCAAACCAAGGTAAAGTGACTCCAATCGGCTTGTCCAGCAACCTTGGTTCTTGGATCCAGCAAACAGCTAGATAGACTATCTAGATATCTCAGCTCATGCCAAGCCGGTCCATGCCGATGTGTGCATATATGAATGTGCATGGTTATTTGTATGTGTATATCTGGGATCCGAACCCTTTGCAAAGAGAGCCTTTGCAAAACATTCAACTGCAATAGCACTGTGAATACCAGCGCAGAATAGCTCGTAGTAGATATTGGAGGGGGGTACCAAAACCATGATACATGCAACAGTATATTATCATATATAAACTATTGGTGGCATTGATATGTACCTGTACATGTGCAAATGCCTATGTTTACGCACAAGGCACAAGGTTTAATTGCCACCACCTCTATGTATATAACTGTTTGTCGATCCTTTTTGTCAGCTTGGAGGACCAGTTCCAATCTAATCTAGAGTTTCGCGGTTCTCCTTCATTCTAGAGTGGCGGAAAGAGTCTGAACACAGAGACTGGTGGGTACAGCTACTCGCAGAGAGGTCGGAGTAGACATGAGTTATGTTATCGTTTCAGGATAGATTACGTGTACCAAAGGCTGAACTAGCACAAAGCAATTTGTTTTTTGGGGACACACCAGGTCTTTTAATCCACGATAACATTTTACATATTACAGTACATGATTTCATGGTTTCGGCGTGGATAAGTGTATTGCAGCAGAAAACCTGTGAGCCAATTCCATTGCAATTGACATGGATGTGTTTCTTGTTCAGATCCCAAGGCGGCACGTGGAAGCTGGCCGACTTCGGTTTGGCGACCCGGTTCAACCGCGGAAGCTACATGACCGGAGAGGTCGGCACCCAACCCTTCATGGCCCCGGAAGTGGAGCAAAGGCACTACACCGAGAAGTGCGACATCTACAGCCGATTGCCGGCCGTTGGTGGGATGGAATCTGACGTCCATCCGTGGTCGTTGTTCGGTAACGGACCCAATCAATGTATATAGGTGTTCGGATGTCAAGTGCTATTTGGAGGTTGATCAGCTATTGTGGTTCAACGTTTTTCAGGGTTGGCTGACTCCAGTGCCTTATATTCAAACCGCACATGTGCATCCAAGGCATCAAAACGGTACTAACTGATGAAAAACATCAGTGGACAGTTGACTCCCCTGGTTTTGTTCGCGCCCGTTTCCTGATATAATCTATTTTTTGGTGTTCATTGTCCTCGGTGAAGAGTGCGGATCCACAAGGATCAGTCATGATTTAGGAACTGAGCCAGTGTGGAGTGCCACCAAGCCAGATGATGGTCACCAGTTTCTGCTCTTGTCCAGTTTGCCATGTGTTTTTGATTGTTTGTTTGTTGTTGATCAGCAAAATAATGCCTATGGACCAAGGTAGTGATGCAATGTATAGTTGAACAAGTAGTATATAGATTGATAAAACATGATAGAATTTGGACGTCCATTAACTTGTTTCAAACGAGCATAAGCTTCATTCCTTCAGGCATGGGAGTTCTCTTTATTGCCTTGGCAACTGGGAAACAATGGTGGCGGCCAGAAAGTGACTTGGCCCTTGACGTGAAGACATCCTGATTGAAGACATCCTAAGCAGCTTGCTCGGAACCACGGTCTGAAGACTGTGCTGGGGAGGTGACCAGTCTTACGACGTGTTGCTGTACAGGATTTCTCCTCTGAAATGCGGTTGGACTTTCAAGCTGCAGATTTCTTGACTGAAGTTTATTTTCCGCATGGGACGCTCGAAGCTAGGGTTCCTCTAAGACTACTGAACCCTCGGATATTCTACAGCCGGTCCAACTCGGTGCTTTGTCCCCGTTGAGGTCTTGAAGACAAAGAGGCCCAAGAAAAGGCCAGGCAGCTTTTGACGCTGAGGACTTGGAAAGACTTGGAGTTTCTGGGCCGAAAAGGAGACACGTCCTCAAACCGACCAAAATGGGTTTACCCATCGAAACGTATCGAACCCATTCGAACCGGTTGTTGGACCCAACAAGAAGAACGAGGGTTCCGATGGTGGCTCCGAAGGGGACTATCTGGTGAATTCGTCACCGAAACGAAGGCTTGATCTGTGGCTGAAAGGTGTCCATCAAGCAAACTTCAGCCATGAAAGTGAAGCGATTTTTTGATTACAAACCTAGCTCCGGGGAGTTTAAGGGACGACCAGAACACCACAGCTACCCAATGCTACACACGCACGCATAGATGATTGACAACACCTTTTAGTCTTTGCTGTTTGCAGTGTTAAGGGTAATTACCGTTCATACGCATGTCAAGATTCAATATAACTCACGCCTTGTTCCTTACATGCTTTGGCTGTCTGGACACCTCGGGAAACTGATCTACCTCAGCGGTCAATTCGGATGTCGTGGCTGAGTTCACCGGGGTGTTTAACAAGAGCAAATTGAACGGTGGTGGAAAATAAGCCTTCCGATGCCTCACGCAGCATTTTCCTCGCATCATCTTGGGGTCTATGTCTACACCATTTATACTAAATCAGTTTTGCACTTTAGGAGGGAAGTCGTTTTGCAATATGCAGTTTTGCCTGAGGTGCCAAATGTGATCGAATATGCACTGTTTCATTCAAGGCATTTGCATTTGATTGATCAAAACTACTTGTCTATTCATAATGTTTGGCACCATTGAAATTCTGAACAGATACAGTATCAACAAAGAACCAAGCAATATAATATAATTAGGAATGTTTATATATGGAATGTGTAGACTTTTGCTCGAGCCCTGCCAGTTGGTAAGTCTGCTCTCGACCGAAACTCGAGCTGACCCTTTTCGCCATGGAGGTGCTTTTTGATCCCCGGTTGTTGCCTCCCCCCCGTGTTGGGGAGCGGTATTCGAGTGTGTTTCGTGCCGGGGATCCTTCAGCCGAGCTGCCTTTGTGGGATCTTCGTGGAACTGCCTGTTCTATCGCCGGAGGGCATGTGGGTGTTGTCTTCCCTTGTTCAGGTTATGATCTCAAGGTCCTGCAGGTTTCGCCTTTGCTGCTTTGAGCTGATGCAGACTCATGGTTTTCTACTTCCCCTTCTTCACGAGAGCCGTGCTTTCCGCGTCACATCGTGGACATTTGCTCGGGAATGGGTGCGATGAGCCTTGGACCTAGGTTCTTAGGCTGTGAGACCTTGGCCTATCTCGAGATCAATGAGTTAGCTCGTGCTCACTTGAAGAGGAACACATCGGCCAGCATCATTAGTGGCAGCGTGTGTCATGATTCGGTCCTCAAGCAACTTCACCAGAAGGTTGATGATTTTGATTTTGCTGTTTGCTCAGGTTTCCCCTGTCAACCATTTTCAGTTCAGGGACATCAAGGGCACCAGAAAGATGAAAGGGCTCTGGTTTTTTGGGGGACCTTGAGATCCCTTTTGCTCCTTCAACCAGTCTGTGCTTGGCTGGAGTGCACTCCGGGAGCAGGTTCAGACCAAGGAGTCCAGGATGGCCTTCAGCAGCTGTGTGTGCTGCTGAACTGGCAACGCCACGAGTTAGTCTTTGACCTGGCCGATCAGTGGCCTATGCATCGTCGACGCTGGTGGTGCGCTTTGTATCCTTCCAGCTGGACCGGAGCTCCTTTGCGGCCTTGGCCTAGAATGGTTCCACCTATGCAGATTGGGCATGTGCTTGATTCATGGGGCTGTTGGCCACTTCATCATGAAGAAGACTTGCAGTTGTCCGCCTCCGAGCTGCAAGCTTACAGCAATGCTGAGTTTGGATCGGATGCTCGGCTTCTCCATTCTCAGATGGCCTCGCCAACGGTTTTGCACTCTTATGGTTGTGCTCTTAGCAGCTGTCCCTGTGGATGCAGGGATCGACCACTGGCATCGACCTCATCGTTGAGCAAAGGGCTTCGTGGATCCTTTGTGATTTCGGAAGTCCACATGAACCCAAGGTTCTTGCATCCTGAGGAGTTGGCGATCCTGTTGACTCTTCCAATGGGGCAGGAGTGGGATACGTACCCTCGATCTTCGCTGTGCCTTTTGGGTCAATGTGCCGCTCCACTTCAGTCGTTGTGGGTCTTCGTCCAAATGCTCAATGCCTCAGCAAGTACGGTGCCGGGACTTCATCGCTTAGATCCGGATGCAGTGCTTGCTGGCTATAAGGCAGCCCTACAGAATCAGGTCGTGGCCAAATTTCCAGCGGCTGAACCTCCTCGTCCACAAGCTCTTCGTCTTCGGCTGGACACAGGGGCTGAATTCTGGTTGCTCAAGCGAGGCACCGTGACGGTTAGCCAGCTTCTTCAAGCTGAACACATTTCCTTGGGTTGGGGTGAGGCTGCTTGTTGCACATCGGCCAAGGGTCAGCTGGCCCGTGATGAGGTGATCAATGAAGAATTTCCCATTCAGCTGTGGCATCATCCTAAACGTCAACGGCGTGATCCTCCTGTTGGACTTCTCGTCATTGGGATTGAGCACCATGGCAGTTTCTTGATTTCGTGCTTGGAGGCCGGTTCATTCCTTTTTGAAGCCTTGTATGAACACCACCTCATCGATGTGGACTTCCTTGTGAATGAAGATGGCAAGGTCTTCGGTAAGGACTATCGTGTTTGGTGTACACTTCGGTTGAAGACCATCACTCCGGCATCCTTCCCACGGTTGGGCCCATTGCCTATCTGCTCGTCTTCTACACAGGCTTTTGGGGAGTTCACTTGCCTTGAGGAGGGTCTTGCTGGTGCTACGGTCTGGCAGGCCATGGTGTCGCTTTGTCAATCTTCTTTGCAGGGGGAGATTACGGAGGTTGTCCAGCTTCATCCCGGTTTCCTTGATCAGCTACGACTGAGTTCTATCACGCAACAGCAATGTGTGGCACTTCGCTATATGTGGCATCAGAGCGCTGGCTATGCGGTGGGTTGTTTTTCGGCTCAAGGGCACTGGGCTGTTCTCTGCTGCAGACAAGATGGAGATGAGCTTCATGGGGCCTACTATGATGGGTTGCGCTCTCGGCTACAGCATGATGCATGGCTCCTGTTTTCTCGTTTGGCGGATCTTTTTCGGTTGCAGCTGGGGAGCTTCACTTCGCACTGCCTTGTTCGCCAGGAGCACTCCACTACTTGTGGCACGGTTGCTCTTGCACATGTGGCGTTGCTTCTTGGTCTTCAGGGATCCTTTACTCCGAATGACATCTGGACGTGGCATCAGTGGTTGCTTCAGCACCAACAACAATCTGATTCACTATGTGCTTGTGGACCGGAGGATCCCACTTTGAATGAGTTAGCTGTGCTCCTTCATGGCAAAGGCGTGCCTGCTGCGGAATGCAAAGCCCGAGCTTCGGCTGCCATGACGGCTCTTGGGCGTGGTCCTGTGCTCAATGCCATGGCAGCAAAAAATCCTTGGCAGAAGTTGAAGGGCTTGGCGTCAAAGCCGGCCACACCATTCCGTTTTTTGACACCTGCTGAACTGTCTGAGTACATTGATCAGCAGTCAAAGTTGAAGCATGGCACCTCTCACAAGGAGAAGAAGCAGAAGTCTCAGGCACAAGCTTCCATGCCGAAGCCCATTGAGTTGGATCCGAAGCAACTTCGATTTGTGCCCGCTCACTTTCGTGACCAAGATGGGGATGAAGTCCCACAAATTGATCTCTCACAGGTTCTCTCCGGTGCCCGGGGTTTAGCAATCTGCACTCGCAGGGATGCTCAGCCCTTCATTGATGACTTTGCTGCCATTAGCACCGATGCTTTGGGTCTTCTCTTGACCAGTGAAGTTGATAGCTCAGAGAAAGGAGCAGCCAAGATCGGAAATCTTCGCTATCCCGTCACCTATTTGGGCACTGGCGAACAGATCCTCATCAATGGGGCTCTTTTGACTCTGGGTGACCTCGCCATCAATCGACACCTCGCTAAAGGTCCGGATAAAGATCCTGACCATGAGAAATCTGTGGTCATGAGAGTGCAGGCCTTTAAGGATGAACTCCCTCTGGCATGGACTACCTTTGTGCAAGCTCCGTTGAAGCACATCATTCAGATGACATTGCCCCTTCAGACATGTGAAGGGCAGGCATGTGGTGCTAATTGTGGCCGATTTCATCCAGCCGTTGATGCAGCGGACTCCGCTGTCATTCATGAGATTTGGGCTCGCAGATTTTGCAACCTGGATTCTAAGACTGTTTCAGCAGAGCTTGCCGAATGCTTTTGCGCCTTCATGAGGATTGCGGAACCGGCTTTGAAGCAGGTCGTTGCTTCCTGTGTGGAGGGCCTCTATTTTGAACCGAGAGCCTCTACCGGTACGGGATCTCATCCAGACTACTTAGTTGTCTGGTTGCCGCCATGTTCTCGTCAAGATGCAGTTCACAAGCTACGTACTGCATCAACGGCCATCAGCCTGGTTCGGTTCAAGACCAAATATGGACTTCGTGTGGGTTGTGGGGATGCCGAGGCTCTTCACCTCAAGTTGCGACCCAATACCGCCTTTTTCGCCTGCAAGCCTACCTTTACATATCGGGCTCATCCTTTGCCTCATGGTTTGGACCGCAAAGCCATGACCAAGTTGCTCAGTGATTGGGGCTGGAAGAAAGCGCGACCTTTGCAGCCTACTCGTGGCAGCTCGATCGGTGGAGCCTGGTTGATTGGTGCTGATGAGGAGCCACCGTCTCCAGTGGTGACAGCTTTCAAAGCCGATGTGCTTCTGAATTTGCTTCCGGCTAAGGAGACTGTTGAGCGACAGATTCCTTTCTTTGCCTCACGCCGGACTATTCAGCACGCCAAATCCTCCGGTACTCCGACACCTGGCAAGGAAGCAGTTAGCAGTGATCCCTGGCAGAATGGGTCCGATCCATGGAAGGGCTTTGTTCCTACGGTTGCTCCTACCACCTCTTCGGCGGGGCGTAAAGCACTCGACGATGTCGCCGACAAGTTGCGGGCAGACATCAAGGCTCAGGTCTCTAAGGAGGTCGCTAAC